AGAGAGACAGTGGGTATATTGGACATGTCCATGAGAGAGACAGTGGGTTTATTGGAAATGTCCATGGGAGGGACAGTGGGTGTATTGGACATGTCCATGAGAGGGACAGTGGGTATATTGGACATGTCCATTGGAGGGACAGTGGGTGTATTGGACATGTCCATGAGAGAGACAGTGGGTATATTGGACATGTCCATGAGAGAGACAGTGGGTTTATTGGAAATGTCCATGGGAGGGACAGTGGGTGTATTGGACCATGGGAGGGACAGTGAGTGTATTGGACACACCTAGAGGAGGGACAGTGGTTTATTGGACATGTCCATGGGAGGGACAGTGGGTTTATTGGACATGTCCATGAGAGGGACAGTGGGTATATTGGACATGTCCATTGGAGGGACAGTGGGTGTATTGGACATGTCCATGAGAGGGACAGTGGGTATATTGGACATGTCCATTGGAGGGACAGTGGGTGTATTGGACATGTCCATGAGAGGGACAGTGGGTATATTGACGGAAGGCTAATAAAGGTGCAGCTGCCAGGGAAAAAGACGAAGAGGAGACACGGATGCAGTTTGAAAGGACATGGAGGTAGGACACAGAAGCCAGTGGACACATGAATGAAGGAGGACATGTATGTCAAACAGGACAAAAACAGAACTCCAGAATGGACGTCCAACAGATTCAGCTGATATTCGGCTGGTTTGTTTTTCAAACTGTCCATCCTTTGTTGTTTGTCTTTCTGCAGGCAAAGTGGACATGGAGGGACTGATTAGAATATACAGAAGACAGAGAGACAGTCAAATGTCTTTACAGGGAGACAGAAACCTGAAATGTGTCCTCCAGGACCTGTGGCAGGTAATAATCTGATGTAATCTGATGAAATCCTCACRTAAGACTTGTCCAACAGTTGGACTCTTCTTTCAACAGGACACATTATGTCTCCCCRAAGACTCAACCATCAACCAGCATTCTAACTTCCTGTCCAGTGGCGGGGACTCTCTGAAGGCGGTGCGTCTCTGCGAGGACATCCTCACTGCTGTAGGGGCRTCCTCTCCAAGTCTCCTGGGACTTCTGCTTGAGGGGACCTTCTCAGACGTGCTGAACCATCTGGGACAGCTGCTGTCTCTGCAGGACCGTCCCTCATCAGCAGCAGAGACAAAGAAGCGTCCTGCCGACCCTCCTCCTGCGACTCAGGGAAAGAAGGAGCGCAGGTCAGCTGAGAGGACGCAGGAGGACGAGGACGAGAGGCATGTGGTTAAAGTAGTGAGACGAGGAGGACAGGTGATGGACATCAGGACCACAGACGGGTCTAAATGTCTCCAGGGAGACAAACATAGAAGACTAAACATCAGCAGTGATGTAAGGCTCAGTCTCAGCTGGTCTTCAGACACCGGCAGGTGTGTGGACGCCTCCCCGGTCCTTTTGATCCGAGACGAAGCCGAAGCATCGGTGTTCATCGGCTCCCACTCCCACAGGATGCAGGCCGTGGACCTGCTCACCGGAACCCTCCTGTGGGAGCAGGTCCTCAGGGACAGGATCGAGTCCTCGGCCGCTGTGTCTCGCTGTGGAACCCTGGTGGTTGTAGGTCAGCATCACTGTGTTAGCAAWATATCTCCTGATCCACTGCACACGTGCAAAATCCTTTGATGGGACTGAAATGTATTCAGATTAAATAATCTGAATGTATGGTTTACATGGGCACAATCTGATCACGACAAGTGTCTACATGCACGTCGTTCGGATTATCAATCGGCATAAACCACCTTTCTCATTCCAATTACAAATTCATTTAGATCGAGTTGAATCGGGTCAGAATAATCTGAATGGGGTGTTTACATGACGCGTTTTTATTCTGAATGGCTGTTTAATCTGATTACTTATGTCCATGCAAACGTAGCTTTTCAGGTACTGACTGTAACCAACACTAAAGGCTCCTGCATGCTGCTGCCAAAATCGTGCCGAACTGTCGCAGTTTTATGACGAAAATTGTGTCACTTCTGTTCGCATTGCCGACTTTTCGGCACTTCTTGTTGCAACCCGCGGGTCGAACTTTTCACCGCCCTGCACATTATAACACATACGAACTATATGGGATCTATATTGGTTAGAAGTTCGTTGGAGTGTTTGTTTGTGCTGAAAGCGCTCAGACGCTGCATTTGCTTCAACCACTCGCTTCAAAAAAAGAAAGAAAGAAAAAGAAAAAAGCGATCCCTTCCAGAGCTGACTGTTGTACCAGGAAGCAGTGATTTATAAAGATAGTCAAACGGCCAAAAACTCATAAAAG